GCCAAATTGTTTAATGGATGTGGTGGTGTCACCTATAGACGGTACTAGTACAGATGACAGACCGTATAACTCGTTGTCACGTACAACCGGGGAATCAAAACCACGCCAGTTGACTCAATAACAGACCTTAAATGATACAACACGCACGCGCTAAAGATTCGCCCCCCCCCCCCAACATTTATAGAAAAAGAAATGAGGAACTTGCATGTCGAAATGCGATATACTACTTTTGAAGCTATAAACCCTTTCTGTGGGCGCCGACCTCATTATGTATTTAGCATTACACTTACTGGATGTTTCACAATAATTTCTGTGTAATAAACAAAGTATTAATAAAGAAGGTCCACTGTGTATTTGAATCATTCTTCTCTGACAGTAAGCAGGGTAAGTCCATGTTTTTCATGTTTTGGGTTGTGTTACAAATTCGGTACTAAAATTATTGAAGTGTTTATTATTTGTAATATTACAGAACATTTATTTAGTGTTGTATTCACCAAAGTATTTAGGTGTGCTTTAGATACACGTAAATATTAAAATATTCGGAAGATGTATGTATTTAGAATAATACAAATAATTTTAAAATATGAATGATAAACACAAAATACTATATAGTCAGAAGTAAATCAATATCAATTCAAAGTCTTAAAGTCTGCTTTAGATTGTTTGTATAAAATAGCTATGGACTGGGTATTGCGTAAACCAAAAAGGCTATACCATAGCTTATGTTATAGAATACCTGTTGCCGTATACTTAAAGTTTTACTTTACATACTTTTAATAAACGGAAGTGTGGGGAGGGGGGGGGGGCGTGTAGAAAGAAGAGAGATACATGGGGTTTATCGTCCACTCGACACAAACTAGGTCTCTTTGGGACTAACATGTGTTTCAATCAATTGCTTGCACGTAGGGATATTTGGGGGTTGAAGCAAACCGGAGGATCTGGAGAAAATCCATGACTCAATGAAAGATCTTATGATCTAAAGTGACGCGGTAAACTATTCGGCCCGCCCCCCTCTTTCAATAAATGTTGATCAGACTATGATCTGGGATTGCTAATAAGTGAAGCAATTTTAATAGTACCGTTAAATAACTATGCCAATACGATAATGTATAAGTAGCCAAAACAGTTTGATTGAAATAGGAAAAATGTGTTTGTTTTATACATGTTATAATTTCTAGCGGATGAATATAAAAGACCAACAAGCAGTGAATTACAATTATCTAGGCCTGAAGAGACATCAGTAATTAAATTACATCTGAATTTACTGATATTTCTAAGATAAAAATAGCATATTTTGCATACATTAGTTATATGAGATTCTATACCTGAATACCTAAATATTTGCTTTTTAGTGGTGATACTATTTGCGAGTTATCTTCCTAGCATAACTTTGAATTAAAGTTTCGGAAAATGTATTCAATTCATTACGGTTCAATCCACGCTAATATGTACTCAGATTGAATATTTAACATTTAATTACGGATTTTAAACAGGCCCATCAATTATTTTTACGGCAAATACAGATGGTGGTCGTTGTGTTACTTAGCGAACAGCATAGATCGTTGGAATTTTCAATTCGTCAATTTCTTGTTTTGTAAAGAACGGAATTGATCCAGTTTTAACTATCACAACGGACTCTATGTCCCATAAAGTAATTAAGGTTTAAAAGTAATGGTGTTATCTGTTATGAAACAAAGTTTATAAATTACTACAAAATATTATAGTGTTGACTTATAGTTTCACCTGTACATACCATACAATGTGGCATTAAATTCGCCGTGTTATTCTCTTATACTTTTGTTTGACTCATTAAATTTTGATCTTTTCTTAAGACTATAGGTATCGGAACTTACCTCGATCCACTCAGATGAGGAAATCAAGTGAGCAATTTAATTAGGCAACAAGTTCCATGTACACTAATTCACTAAAGCTGCATTTGCAATGCGAGGATTAAAAGTTTACCCGGGTAGCGACATTTCTTTGAATTTCGTTTATCTCGGTTTCTTTTACATACATATACTAATGTACCTTATAATCACCATTCGACACAACTTCTTTTACGCCACCCATGACCATCGGAAATAGACTTTAACGGCACAAAATTCACAGCATCCAATTTGGAATTCGAGGCCGGAAAAATATAGAAAAATACGCGCCAGTCTCGAAATAACCGGGGTAGTATGAAACCCATTCTATCAAATTATGACGCCATTATAGTGATTTATGTTTTCACTAAATAGTGTCAAACTCCTCTAAATGTTAGGCCAGTCGATACAGAACAGTAGAACGTTACACCTCATTTCATTTCCTATATCGGATGGCCGAATGGTTAGCGCTTGTGCGTTTTATCATAAGGTCTGTCATTGAGTCAACTGGCGTGGGTTCGATTCTCAGGTTGTACGTGACATGGCGTACGGTGGCCTGTACATCATCGTGGGTTGTCTTCCGGTCCGGTTTGCTCCCACTGCTAAAGACCCCTACTCGCAAGAGAATTATTGAAATAAAATTAAACTAGTCCCGAAATGACCTAGTTTGTGTCGAGTGGACAATAAACCCTTTTTCTTTCTCTCCCTATAAATGTAGAAACTGCTGGTATGTATAGTTTGGTCATTTATCTGTCAACACGGGAGTCACGGTGGCTAGGTGGGTAAGACGCTGGCACGCTAGGGTGAAGGTCGCGTGGCCGAGAAAGTTCATCGGGCTTTTCCAGCGTGGTTTCCCCTTGTCTGTAACGCAGGACGGAGGGCCTAACAATGACAGCTGTCTAGTCGTTCGGATGGGACGAACCACCGAGGTCCCGTGTATACATTGAAATACACGTGGAAGATCCATTGACAGTTGGAATCCGATATAAGAGTAGGCCACAGTGCCGCTGCCGGGCACAATGTCCCTCATAGCACACTGTATGGCGTATGCCAGTCATCATTAGCCCATTCGGATCAGAACAGTAGGATGCTAAATTTCATTTCATTTTATTTCATTTTTTACCTTATTGACGTCTTATCTATTATTAAATTCAACAAACACAGAGTACAAGTTTTTCAATAGAATTATTATTTAGTTGAATAGTGAATTGAAACAGGATTACCCCCAAGAGAGAGTGTGGCACCTATTTGACACATATTGTGATTATGTTCGCATTGTTGTCCCATTCAACAAAGGTATATATACTAGAGAATAGAACAGGATTTAACGTATCAGCAACACAACAATTAGGTCATTTCGAGACCTACATATGCTAATTTTGAGTGCACAATGCTGTTCCGTCTCCTGACTAATGTGTACATGGGTGAACCGTGATTTTCCACACTGACCTAATGACTGGACTTGATAAATCATAACGGCCCTTCTCGCCTACGGCGGGATACGCTCACAGAAGATTCTAGTCGTAACCGCTACCCCGAATACTCGATTACCACGGCCCCTGTAGACAGGATAAGTAGCATACTTTAAAGTTGCATTTCCTTTAGAACGGATCCGGATCCGGTGCGGCTCCGGTCCGGAGCAGACATGGCACACGTCAGGTTGTGTATCCTTATATGCGGTTATTCAAGCGGAAGGGCTCTTTTCAACATACTACCATTTGTCCTTTCTTTCGATTTTCATCTTTTCTTTTTCTGATTCCATGAATTTCCCTACCTATTTGTAGCTTTTTGCCGTGCGGGCTACCCAAACTGTGTTTCTTTATGTGCGTTTACGGACACGGTTCCGCATGCGTTTCCGTACCGATCGCGACATGTGTTACATAATCACAGATTATCTGATGTTAAAGACGCTTCCTGCCAACTTGACACCTGTTCGTTATCGACATGCCTGGAGTTCTTGGTCTATGTGATTATGTAACGATTATGTAAACGTTAACTTGCTGGCATGTTTTATTTAAACTTTCTTTGTCTGATTAGCATGTATCGAATGTTAAACTTGATATGATACATTAGCCAGATGCCTAATAAGGTCCTTTGTTTGGAAGAGGTTTATAAACCCAGATTAAGAAACAACTCGACAGACAGGTCCGGCCAGGACAGGCCACGCAGGTCTGGAGTTAAGACCGGACAACGGCCATGTAATGTAAGTTAGTTGGGAGTTGGCACACTCGTGCCTAGCCGAGCTAGGACATGACTCTCTCAACACTAGCTAGTAACGGGGTTTTAAGTTTTGTATATAATATGTTAAAAGAAGCAGAGAATAAAAGTATTTTAAGATGTTAAACTAGTCTTGTCATCTGAACCTGATTAAAGAACCAATACTGTCACACATGGTCCGTTTCGAAAAACAGTACCGGACGCCACATAGACAACCGTATCCACACCCGCACATAAGGAAACACTCTTAAGCTGTATTTCCTTTAGTACGGATCCGGTCCGGCTCCGGTCCGGTTGCGGATACGGAAAAAATGTAAAAATGTTTCCTTATGTGCGGGTGCGGATACGGTTCTGTATGCGGCTTCCGGTACGGTTTTTCGAAACGGACCATGTAGCGTTCGGTACGGAAACGCATGCTGAACCGTTTCCGGTATGTATGTTGCAGCCAATATTATCAATTTTTTTTCTTCTTTTACGAACCTGGACAATGCCGGTGCCATGTTGAAAAAGAGGGCCCTTCCGCTTGAATAACCGCATATAAGGATACACAACCTGCCGTGTGCTATCTCTACTCCCGGACCGGAGCCGGACTGGAGCCGGACCGGATCCGTACTAAAGGAAATGCAGCTTTACTAAAATTCTATGAAAGTGATTTTTTCCGTATCAGCAACCGGACCGGAGCCGGACTAAAGGAAGTGCAGCTTTATCCATAAAATAAACTGTGTAATTGTGGCGTAAAGGTGTGGATGTATGTGATGCAGATATGAATGGAAGTCCTTGTATTGTCCCAGAACTTACAGGATATCCGCTGATACATATGAGATACATATATTAGAAAATATATTTACTTTTTATTTTTTATCCTTAAATTACATTTACAAGTAGAGGTATACTATTATTTTATATATATATACATAGATAAGAAGAATATAACCATAGAAAACATATGGCCAACCTATTTACATTCCTGCTGAGCGTTCTTATGTTAGTAAGACAATGGGAAACACTGTCTGCAGGTAAGTTTTAGATCGTGGGGTGGGGTGTAAATCTCGAAAATGAAATGAAATGGTTTTTAACGTCCTACTGTTCTGCTCCGAACTGTTCTAATGAAGACGGGCATACGCCATACAGTGTGCTATGAGGGAAATTTTCCCCGGACAGCGCCACTACGGCCTACTCTTATATCGAATTCCAACTGTCAAGGGATCTTTTACGTGCACGCCAATGTGTACACGAGACCGCGGTGTTTCGTCTTATCCGAACGACTAGACAGCTGTCGTTGTCCTCCGTCCTGCATCACTCCAAAGGAGAACCATGCCGGAAAATCTGGATGTACTTTCTCGGCCAATGCAGGGATCGAACACCCGACCTCCAGGCTAGCGAGCCAGCGTCTTACCCACTTAGCCACCGTGATCCCCGGTGTAAATCTCGTATTAGCGATCAACAGAACACAATTTTATGTAACATCATTACTGTTTATTACGGGCGACGTTTCGGCTAAATGTCATTAAAACAATTTATGTACAGTTCAAACGGATATGTTAAAATTAGATTTGGGATAAATCAATCAACGTGTTGCTATAAGCTATAGCCGTTTTAATTACATTTTAGTCTTCTAGAGTCGTTTTTTTAGTCTTAAAAATCCAAATCCAAAACAAAATCCAAATGCCATGAGTATTTCTGTAAAGTGTAATGTTACACAGACCCTAAAGGCGGATAAATAAATGAGCAACACGGATTTGACAAACAAATTGTTGAATCAAAATTCACCGTGAACAGAGTGTATTCTGAGAAGCAATCCTAGTGAAGACTTATTCAAAAAATAAATAAATAAAAAAAACAACCCTACATGGATGCATAACTCTCCTGTATCCGTGCATGTTAACATAATAGTAGTATGACCACTTCACGCTAACACTAATTCTACGCTTTGAAAGTACGCTATGCGCTCTGTATGCACAATTTTAATACATTTATATACTGAATGATGGTACATTGAACACGAAAACTAAAAGACCTTGCGCCAAATGTTTTCCTTGTCGGCCTTAGGGCTACAAATTGTAGTCCTGTGGCCTGTTTCACGAAATTTTAACTAAAATAAAATCCAAATTTTAGTAATTTGACTGGATGATATTAAATTGATTTTAGTGCTTAGCCAATCAAAATTGAAGTATCTACTAAAATTGGATTTTATCATTAGTTAAGATTTCGAGAAACAGAGTCCACATTTTAATATTGGTGATACATGAGATGCTTTAGGAGTATCAGATATAACCTGAGCCGTTGCATATAAATCATAGATGGAATCTTTAGACACGCCGTCAAGAAGGCTACGACAATAGTATAATTGGAAAATGATCACAAAAATGAACTAGTGTGTCTGTTGCCTCAGGTATTTGGTAATATCTAATCTGACTGATATATTTTTAGGTACAAGTCAATTTAGATATGTTCTAACTTCAGTTTGCTGTAAATAAGTAAAATTACTATATCATTTCAGAAACATGTACCTATTCGAGAACACCTGACTATAAAACAATAATCCAAGATCAATTGAGCGTCTCCTCTACAAACAGCATAGATATGTGTGAAGATGCATGCACCGCCAACTCGGCGTGTTTATCATTATATTATAAAGATCCTCTGTGTTATTTATCAAACACCGCTGACAAGGTATCTAACCCGAATGATAATAATACCTATTCTTTAAAATCATGTGCGCCAGATACCACTACGTCCTCTGGTAAGTAAATTATTAGAAGAGGGGTTAAATAGGCTATGCCTGTTCTCCAATCCCATTCATTTATGAATATATTTTTTTAAAGTACATTAAAAAGATGTATAGTATCTGCATACGAATTATCTAAACCAGGTCGGTAATAGAAGCGATCGATGTTTTTCTGCCCCGTTGCTTTAATTAATGCAATTGTATCATACCAGTGTAATTTATGCAGTTACCATATATTATACGACCTTAACAAGTACACGTCGGATTGAAGCTTGTTGCATATTATTTATTTAATCAGTGAAACTACAAGTGAAACTAGTTTACCTTATACACGTCGTTGCAAGTGTGAAAAATCTAGTGTTTTTTGTAACATCGATAATATCACCATAAACATTAATTGTACTGCACCAAATACCCCTCAAAAATATCACCATTAATGTCTTGTTAAACAATGGTTATTACGAATTTATTTGAATATTTAAAAGTTCAACGCTTTCCAAAATCATTTGTATTAAGTGTGCTAGATCTTGTGATTTCCTACAATATATTTGATTTCGACAATCAATTGTAGGTACTAAAGTCGGCCCAATTCATGCTACGCTCAAACGTAGATATTTAGAAGAGATCTGGTATCATCAGATAAAATATTAGATTCAGCACAAGCTTTGGTTTTTACATCAAACAAAGATGGAAGAGAATTATGGACGATTGTTTCGTTACCTTGAAAGAAAGTGAATCATCAATCAAGATCCTTCATGAAATGTTGAACTCTTTAGATCCCAGTATCAAATTCACTATTGAAATAACTGAATTGTTTTTGAATTTTCTGACTATTATATTGTTAAATACTCATCACTATCTTTATTTCTCATCTAGTATTGTAACCATGACGTTATTCTTAGGAGAACGCTAGATCGGAGACGGGCCTGCACATTTTAGCACATATGACGTCATAATGTGGATACTGGGTTAGGACCTGCAGATTTCATCAGTCTCGAAATCTAACCAGGGCACTATTCCTAACCCGGTACCAAGCCTTACCCTTACTCTAATACATATATACATATTTTGTAGAATAATAGATTTCCATGACAATGGATTATAAATAATATCAGGTAAAATGCAACAAAAAGTTATAAAGTATATAATACATAACATGACATTAATTTACATATATTCTCCCTGGTATAATATATAGTAAGAATTGGATTATTATTTAAATAACTGTCATAAGCAGTACTGACACAATAATGTCATGCTGTTTAACATCTTTTAAATCGTGTGCGCCAACCGTCCTAATAAAAACTGACATATACCATGCAGTGTGCTAAAGGGGGGCGTTTTGCCCGGACAGAGGCGTGTCCGCCAACTCCATATACCAAGGGATCTTTTAGGTGCACGCAAACATGTCCACACACACGACTAGCCAGACTCGCCGTCCTGCACCACTGGAAAAGTGACATGCAGACCGAAAAATCCGGAGCAAACTTCACAGTTTAGACTTAGAAATGAAATGGGGTACAAAGTCCCACTGTTCTGCATCGACTATAAACTAGAATGTTAGTGAGTAGTTCGTCGTATTAGGTTACATCCGAGATTGTTTTGGTGATGCACACGAGACCCATTTTCTGTGTATTACTTAATATACTAAGAAATAGATACAATTTATAATTATGCAAATACATTTCACATATTTCAAACTTTTCAGGTAATTGCAATTTGGTTACACAAAATGACACAAAAGGGGGAAGTAATCCATTTACTAAAATAATAAGTGTGGACGAAATCTCTTGTCGTGATTTATGTAGATATTTGGATGATTGTAAATCTGTGACGTATAATGGAATGCAGTGTAAACTTTATAGTGGAAATACAAGCACTTCCGTTCTGATCGGAAGTAAACACGCAGTCAAAACGGACTGTTATAGTGGTAGGTTTAATACTGTATTGATATATTAACATGTCACAATAACTAAATAATTTGTATCGAAATACGGTTATTTACAACAATCAATTAAATGGCTAACAAATAAAATGGATTTGATGAAAATAACAGCCCAAATTATTAACTTTAAAAGTAGATTTCTTACCAGAGCAGACAAGACACCCTGAACCATAGAGTGTAAATATATGTTTGACACTGGCAGAAAAATATGATAATAAGTTACTAAAGATCAGAATCTGACCAAGAAAGTTGGAAACAGATATGAAACCACGTGACATTTTTTCATTTGAGACGGGGAACAAAATCTCAAGGTGGCGCAAAAACCATGATGTAAAACGCATCAGCTGTTTTCCATAAATGCTGTCTTATTACTTATTCAAAAATTTATAATCATTTCTGGTTTATTTATTTAAGGTTATAAACCCGGACTAAATTACTGTTTATTCCTTTTAGGTATTGAATGTTGTTTAAATACTGCTGAGAATACAACTGGAGGGAATGATCAAGCTTTAACATTTACACCAGATCTGAATTCATGCCAGTCTTTATGTGCGTTATATTCGTCTTGTACTGGTGTGTACTGGAAGGCACCGGAATGTACCTTATATACATCCGAGACAACCACTGGTGCTGAATTAGGAAGTATCTATATTTCTAAAGAATGTCCAACAGGTATTAATTCGTTATTAAATTTGACCAAGGGCAACGTCAATAGGTCGTTCTTGGACGAACATATTATGGTGGTTTTTTTTCGGGGATCAGGGTGGGGGCGAAGAAAAATAACAAGGTTAGAAAGGTGGAGACATTCACACCGAATCCACAACCACGCAGTTAGCTATGAGAACTACAAATTACACGTGGTAGTGTAGAGAAAGTATAATTTAAGATAAATAAGTATTACATATAGTTTGCTAACTTTATTAAATGTTTATGTTTATTAGTGTAAAAATTTATATTTTAAAGGTGTTACAATGGGAACCGGTACATTTACAAGTCTCTGCATTGGTAAGAGCACATTTTTCTTTTTTATTAATACATTTGCAGATGAAATTACACGCGACTGCCATTTCCTCAGAAGGTAATGAAATGCGCAGGTTCTCATAAGTTTAAACTCACCATTTCAGGGGGTAAAATTAAAGGAGAAACTGTTTATTTCCAGTGAATGACAGTTCCTCTCATGACGTCTCGCCCCGGTGTGTTAATTTGCTAATAAACTTGAACGCTGGGTTGTGCCTGGCTGAAAATAATTTTATAATATATGAATAATGTTTAATATATTGTAAGAAAGGATGACTGCAGTTCCCTTTTAAGCCAGCATGAAACTGGTTTCACAATAAATATAAATATAAGCTTATAAACAATTCAAAATCCATCTTAACGGAGTGTCGTTGAAGACCTTCGCACTTGATCACGGTTAATTATTTTCGATGTGTGTAGCAACTAGCAAGTCTGAATGGAATTTTATCTTTATTTTAGTTAAATCTGGAGGCGTGATGGTTGCCATGGATACTCGTATACTAGTATTGATTATGATTGGTTTGTTTGTGAATAAATACAAGACCCACATATTTTGATGTAAACATAATATCGACAAAAACTGTTTTCATATTTTTATATCTGGCAATATTGTAAATATTATATCTTATAAAACAAAATATTTTTTGTATCGTATGGCGTACCCATGCCTCAATCCTTGTTCACTGAATAGTTTACTCTAAATTCCCAATCTACTGGAATGGATGACCGGAAGTTTCTTGTGTTAAACGACCATTGAGAAGACTCTATGTTAATAATTAAATGGAAATGTGGGATCAAACCCCCAGTTGCACAGATGAAATGCCTTGTGAACTAGAGCGCAAGCTTCCTCCCTTAGTTCCGAGGTGTAAAGGGAGCTAATTCTTAACTTGAAATGAGTACATCTAGAATACCGCTTATTTTAAAGGAACACTGCTAGATGTGGTGATATTTCACTATCTATTCTAAGCTACACCACAATCGAAATATCAACAATCTGTATATCTTCTGATAATGTATATGCTTCAGTTAAATAAACCTTAATTCTTTTAAACGGTATCACTAAAAGGATTAATGATGTCTTTAGATTACATGTAGTTATTCAATTCGCGATTGTGATTAGAAATAAATATTTGTTGAATAATCGAGATTATTAAAAAAAAATAGCTCAGAATTACTCGATTATCCAGACGCTAGCACCAAGCGGGCTAAACAAATCGCGGATTCAGGGGTTGTCTCCGTTGTAAATATTTAGTATCGCAAGTTTACTGTAATGGTGACCATAACAAATACAACAGTGCGCTTCAATACCAAGGAAACATTCTGAAAGTATTGCTAAGCATTATTACGAGCTAGCTCTACCTGCTGAAATGTCCACACTAACAACGGCGGCAACCACTATTTACCACACCCTCTAAATTGTGTAAACACTAAATTGTGTAAACAAACACGGTTAGATAGTGTGTAGAACCGATCCGTGTGTATTTACTAACTGGGTTCTTCGTGAGTATATCCTCATATCACGTAGAATAAGATAATTATGGTTAATATGGAAAACCGTGAAAATATACGTTGTCAGTAGTCGCGTAAACCCGTTTAGTACTTGCACCGTACGCCAGTATTCCTATAAACGGTCAGTAATATTTAATTGGCCAGTATTTAAAAATAACATGGGTAATTAAACAAACGTGGGTTAATATCACTAGTCAGGCGCGTACGGGAGAAATTGGCAAACACATGACTAATTGAAAAAAATCACTATTGAGACTACCGTTCACTATCTGGCTCAAACCACCCGTTTTCTTTAATCTGCGTCCGTAAATGGAACCGACGCCACTAGAGCTTGAACTCATTAACTATACAAATTTCGGGTGAGAGAGAGAAATGGGGTTTATCGTCCACTCGACACAAACTAGGTCATTTGGGGACTAACGTATGGTTAAATTTTATTTCAATAATTCGTAGTAATAGGAAACTGGAGGACCCGGATAAAACCCACGAGGATGGGCAGGCGATCCTACTCCTTGACACGTCCAACCTGGATAATCGAAACCACGCCAGATGACTTAATGAAAGACCTTATGATACTACGCACACGCACTAACCATTCGCCCCCCCCCCCAATTTCTGGTGAGAATTGTTATAAATGATCAGTATTGGTTAAATGGTAACTTTTCCGTTAAAATTGTCACTAAATCCTGAATAAATTATTAATGATTTATTAATATTATTGAATCTTGGGAAATCTTTTTAAACAATAATGGATGACAGTGAACAACAGGACTATGGGCTATACAGTTCGATTAATAATAAATACCTTCATTCATTTTTTAATCGATAAACATATATGCATTTTAAATGCTCAGTGGCAAGGTTTGATTCGTCACACCATTTGCATCCGTTCCCGTTCTTACAACGGGTGCCTCAGCCAGAATACGGCGCGATGTGTATTGTTATTTAATTTACAATTTATATTTATTCTCGTTACATGCGGATTGGCACATGATTCGGGACAGACGGCATTTGACGTCTGTATGAATTAAATTTGGAACCACAACTAATTGTTAAAAAAAGATCATCAAGACAAAATACAAATATGTTTTCACTAATTTATTTGAAACAGATAATATGATCGCAGCTAGTTAACAGAGATAATGAATTGGGTACACATACACCCATACATACTAGCTGAAATTATGAGCACTGAAGAGTCGTGTGAATATCTATTTATTAAATTAGGGAAATAATAATTATTAAACAATATAACGATGAAGAAAATAGTAATGACATATAATAAAGTACGATATACAATGTTGGATCTTGGGATATAATATAAATATTCGTTACAAAAAAACATGGTCCCGTGCACGTAAAAGAACCTTTGATAGATGGAATTCGAAATAAGAGTAGATCACGCAAAGATTTCTTAAAAAAAAACATTCTAAAAGCAACACGAAAATACTACTAATATTTTGTTCTTGCCTAAGACGCGTGTTTTGGCGTCAAAGCGAAATAAAAACAAAACGAACAAATTTTGTTACATATTGCTGTAATTCAGAATCGTTTACATCAGTTGATAGATGTCTAGACCATGTCGTTGTTGTTTATTGCAGATTTAACGTCCAATAAATTAAATATGATATTATGGACAAGTTGATCTAATTAGACAATTGGTAAAAAAACAAAATAAAAGTCATTGTATATAAAAAATTATATAACATTAAAACACGCTTAAAAATCGCTGTCGTGAGAAGAGAGGGTAGGTCATCTTCTCCTTTTGTCATAATATAAAAACGAGTTAAAACAGGAGGTTCAGCTGACTGAACAGGAGGTTCAACATAGAAATGGTTCCACTATTGATGTATTACGTCTTACTCCAGCCACAGTAGTGGATCGTTCTAAGCAGGTCCTTGAGAAAGTCTTTTAGTCAAATGACTACAAAAACGTTACTGGCCAATAGCTCCCTTAATTTCCACATAAACTGACCCCAAACACTACTGCACGTAGCTTAACATATAATAACAAAACCCTAAGGTGTGCCACCCAAATTAAGTCAAATGCCTTGGTCAGGTCAACGAATACTGCGCATATTATATTATATATAATTGTTCTTTTAAGACAGGGACAGGGTTTTGACAGTTTTTATGTATTTTTGACAGGATTTGACAGTTTTTACGTATTTTTGAAACAGGTTTCAAAGTGTTTTGGTTCTGTTATGCAAGATCTTTTTCGACGTTCCAAAGTAAAAGTTCTGTACTAAAGATAAATTGTAAATGTTCCTATATTATTAATTAGAACATGTTTCGCTCTAGTTTGTATATTTCACGCTACTACTACCATGGTGCTTTAACGTCTGCTTCCACAGAAATGATATCGCAGACAATATTTTACGCCGACATTTAGCCTATTGCTTTAAATTTTACTATAGAGAATTTGGGTCTGGTTTTGTGCCCATCTGATGGACAAGCTTAAGGCTGCACTATTTTGTTTCACGGTAAACGATGAAATAAACGGTATGTCGCAACAAAACGATTTCAACACTGGTTTAATAACATGTTAACATTTTAAAGTACTTTTCGCCCGTCTTGGGACTATTCATAAATAATGTCATTATAGTATAATATATTATATATATTTACTATTAATGGCTTTCATTTTATAAGAAGAGAAAATTTGGAATTTTACTTGTAGGTGTTGTGCACATCTGAAGATATGTCTATTTACAAATAAGGGCCCATTTTCAATATTACAATCCCGTCAATGGTTGCGTACTCTATCCCATAGATATGTGCCCGTCTCCCCTATGTAGAAATTTTGAAAACCATTGCAAGTCAAGACACATATGAGATTTTTTGTGTCACAATTCATTTTGTCGTTGACACTAAAAGTAAAGGTATGAAAATTATATTTGTTATTTGCGTAATATGGTCGCAATATTTACATCGAAGATCCGGGCGTTTCAGATTAGGTGGCTGTCTTTGTGATTAATGAATTGAACATTATCAAATTTCTTTCTGGGGTTGTCGTTTGATGCCAGGAGTGTCATGCTCTCGTGTATTGTTTTAAATTAGTTGGGATGTTGCGGGTTATGAGTAGTGACAAAGGTAATGATATTATCCGAACTTTCTTTGGCTTTAGCAGCCCTCAATGTTTGGATATCAATTGCCAAAGCCTTATTTATCCCAACTTCTATTATTACCTCGAGTTAGTAAGGCTGTTGCAATAAATTTATTTTTAGCTCACCTAATCTGAGAATCCGGAGGTCTTCATCTATCACAATGGCGCATATTTTTCTAGCCCTCAATGTTTGGATATCAATTGCCAAAGCCTTATTTATCCCAACTTCTATTACCTCGAGGTGGTAATGCTGTTGCAATAAATTTCTTTTTAGCTCACCTAATCCATGTCAATCCGGAGGTCTTCTTATATCACAATGATGCATATTTCTCTAGCTAAAGAAAAGGGTATATTATGTTTAGTATGGCGTGGGTGGCATGATTTAAAAGAAAGATAGTTTTTGGTATGTTTCTTTAGAATACATATCCGTTATCAGGCGTTCTCCTCCCCTTCATTTCACCAGAACGTCCAAGCATGCGATTTGCAGATCTTTCGTTTTAATATATGTTGGCGAAATGAAACTACATAATTTGTGCTAACATTTTCACAGCCGAAGTTGCTCTTCAGGCATTTACATTATATAGAAACATTTATCCCGTATTTTTGTTTTTGACTATACATAAAGGACTTATATTTATTTGTATTTATTTTTATTGTCTGTGATACTTGTTTTAATTTATGTATGTATTTATTTATTTATTTATTTATGTATGTGATATTGGTTTGTCTCGTCAAACACCACCATATGTTTGGCATTATATAGTCCGGTTGGAGCTGACGTGCCATAAAACTCAATTTCATCATTTCATTTTGTTCTTAGCACTCGTGTTAACCTTTTATGTGATAGATTTCGAGTCGAATTAGAAATAATTAATCTGGTGATTGCTTCCTTAATTCCATGAACTAAGAAACCTTTGTTTAATATGCATTTTTAAATAAGAGAGCTAATGATATGCTCATATTTATAGCTTAGTGAAATTATCTACCCTAGAACCCCACGTATACATGCAAGTCATCCCTTTGATGTGCGTATTTGATGAACTGAAAGAAAGAATAACTGACAAGGCTTGAAAGATCCCGATACTAATTGTCTTTTAAGAGAATCTCTGTATTTACATGACATGCCCGGTGAGAATCATCATGTCTTAAGTGTTACAGTTAATGAACAATATGAACGCTAAAAGTGGGGTGCTAATTCGTTTACTTGCTGAAAGATAGATATGCGGAAACACGGTCATATTATTTCATTTACGATGCACAAATAACAGGTTCATATCTTATTATCGGGCGTTTTATTGGGAAGATCAGGCGAGCTCAGGGAAATCACTTTCAAAAATAAGAATAATAACCTGAAACTATATTACGTTGATATTAATATAAATGAGATCATCAAATTCAGGGGCAAATAACTGACTCAAGCCTCTTTCCAATCAGTAAAATTGTTTCTACTAAGGCTACACGTAGAAATACAATTATTTAATTTTCTTCGATATCAACTTCATCTGACAATGATTTTTTACGAATTGTTATCTTCTACGATTTTACTTTCTAACAACTAGTTGACACCACAAAGTTACGACGTATTGATTGCTTTATACCTTCACGACAAAATGTATGCGTTACACAACAATGCATGTTCGGATCATGGCCAGCTGTTAACCGCTAATTAACATTTTGTGAAACCGAGACAAAGATTAGTCGATTAAATTCACCTATTTCAATAGCTTTATAACTTACATTATAGATCATTTATATACAATATTATATTGTTAAATACATGCATAGAAAATATTCTTTTCCAGTTTACGGTTAATTGGCCCCCAAATACAGGACCTGTCGGAAGGAAAATATTTTTACTTTTTTTTTATTATTTTTTCTGTGGCGTTTGTATTATCCATTTATAGCTGTGATTACTGGATAGGTTGCTGAAAATAATACCGAAATTGGAGAGAAAAAAAAGTTAAGGGTCCGCGATTTAAAAGAATAGGGTCGGACCGGTAATCGTAAATAGTTTTTTTTTTAAAATTTTGGCCTTAGTCATATGTTGACGCGTGTACTCTAGTAGTTAGGATCAATTTACACTCTGTTCAACTCATTTATGTTACAAGATGAAGACAAACAATCTCATCATATGGGTAAGTACTATGTGCGAAGACTACTAAAGTATTTATCTGTGTCTACATTGATTTTATGCAACTTAAATTACGTATTATTTGACTGATCATTTCTCTTGCTATAAGAAAACTGCGCTAGTAAATACGACTCGCCCAAATATCAAATATTTACAATTTGGATATACTGGGTCAGTATCAATTCGTTTTTATTGGTACTACAGGTATTATATGGGGGTCATATTCCTAAAGATGGCCATAAAATACATGATTATTATCCGCTGTCTTTTAGGAATTATATTAAAGTGTTCACGAACTTTGTAGGGCTGTATTGCTAACATCATATAATTGGTGGTCAGTATAGTCGAGCGATCAGGGCGCTCCAGACTAGAATGACCCGGGGTCTAATCTCAACACAGGTCGAGACGAACCTCGATATTTTTCAAGAAAGGACAGCTTCCCAATTTTCTAAAACAGGGTAAAGTGCCACAAAGCAGTTCGGATGATGCCAAAAAATAGACATGCACGTAAAAGGGGCCTTGAGCTGTGTCTAAACAATAACACTTATTGCTATGACAGGTCGACGAATAATTAATCAATTGTGATGCGTGGTTGTGTATAGCAACGGTAGATAAACGGTAGAAAGATCGAAGGGAGATCTTTGAAAATTCTCAAAATTATCTTTCTTAGTCTTCCACGATCCAACTCACCACTGCTTACCTAAAAGGCTTTTATTATCGCTTTAACTGGGTACAGCGGAAAGTGCACATTATATTTGATAATCTGTTATTGAGATAGAAGGCTATCGATGACACAATTGAATGGTTTACGGACATGGCTTTAAATATATAGAATGTTTTAGGCATAATTTAAACAGAATTTAGTGTTAGCGCGCATATTGTTACATAATAAAGTGTATTCTAGCTGGTTGTAAGTGAAACTACCTTGTAGAGGACAAACTGGAGAAACACTTGCAGGACCCAGGCTGTCTGTTGTGACCTGTGTTTACTCGTAGGTGTATGAATTTATTTGTGCATTACGTTTCTGTTTTGTATTTACATTCATCCGATTTGACAGTTATTAAACCCAGGCAGCAAATAATGTTCGCTTTTCCTAAGTAAAAATGAATGTTCACAAAGTGAACAAAAACTTTGGCTGTCAGTGAACAATTTGGGTCGGCATTAAACGTTCTGAACCAACGGCTTTCGATTGCGCTACCCAAACCCATCCGTTAAGTTTATCTACTCTCGTCCCTCCAACCAAAGAAAGTGTGTCATTGCTAGTCATTTTAAGTAATCATTTCATTAGCTATATGAAACCGAGGGCCCGCCAAAAATGTTACCAATTTAGACCTCAGTAATCGTATTTTATGTTTGTCTCTAAGACCCCCATGTTGTCTCGCCAACACCCTTTATATTTTATAGTCTATGGTTGTATATATACTGCATGTGTATGCGTTAGAAGATGTGCCATTGAACAACCCCTGTGAAGTAAGTGATTTTTACACTTGACACCCTTTCTACAGATTGAAAAGATAAAGCAATCCAACGCTGGCTGAATTTGTGATTGTGGGTCATGGAAAATATGCAGTAAACACATTAATTAAAACAACCCCACAAGCAGGGGCGGATTGGGGCGGGAACCGGCCCGGGCTCCCGTGTCGGAGCGGCCCCTTTTACTGACCGCGTAGCCCGGACAAGGAGTCCGAGATTCTCCCCCGGGAAAATTTTGAAAAATGAACCCCAAATAAATATGCAAATTGGTGGCATATCTAATTATAATCTCTGTCAAATAATATATCTCATAAATCGATTAATTTAGGCCAAACCCCCGATCTGCAAGTAATTTACAACCATCAACCTGTGAAATTATCATATCGTCAAATATAATAATTAGTAAATTTGCGGGCGACAGTGTCGGGTGAATCCGATGAAATTTTCGGATGAAATTCGGAATCCCCATTGCAGGATTCCGAATTCCGGCCCACACCCAGCACACCCGGCCCATGAAGTGTATTATACTATCCCATTCCAGACAACAGTGATGGCGTGGCAGCCCGTTAAAGCCACCGACCACATACAACATGATCATCATCGCTCCATTGCCGGTCCAATACCCCCCGGATCGTTATAGAATAAATCATTTTTTTTAATACTTACCCCAACTGTTTAGATTTGCCGTACAGCAAAACAATTATTTCCTTGAAGTACTTTGAAATCGGAGAAGTACAAAACATAAATTTATACCAAACGTCTCTTGGTATTATAATAATCGATAAAATAAATTTCCTTTTGCTTCCAGGCTGTAGAATGTCCCGAAAGTACCCATTGCCGTCTGCAACAGGCCGAATGCAATAAAACCGAAAAACGCTGTCCCATTGTCACGGTTTGTGTTGGTGAGTGCAAAAATGACTGGTTTTGTTTGGCAGTTTGATTATTTAAGCGTACATACCAGAACGGTTCCGTATTATCAAAGTGTAAACTGTTTGTCAAAAAATATATGTTTGTGATCAACATAAAATAAAGACCACTTTGATAAACTTTCTCTGAACATTAATAAACACAATAAGACATGGGTTTATAAATGTTTTATTTTACACTCAAATTTCATTATATTATTGGTACTATTAAACATATATATATCAAATATCAATTGCAAACAATTTATGAATTATTAAATATATATTGGGCCGAAATGAAACGCACCATTAATTTGACGTCAAATTTTGTTTGGAAAGATACTCGCCGGAAAATTTACCGACGCTACAAAATCAACCCCTAGGGTTTCATGTCATCTCTAGTGAAATAGGCACAGAGGGTAAAAAATTAATAACCTGTTTGCCTATCGTTAGCAACGTCCCTACAACATGGACGAGATACGCCCTAGGGTTTCATGTCATCTCTAGTGAAATAGGCTCAGGGGAGGTTAAAACATCAATAACCTGTGTGCCCATCGTTAGCAACGTCCCTATAACATGGACGAGAAAAGCCTACGAAATGTCTGTCTGTGGAATCCTGCTCCATGCTCGTCGCAAAGCTGCTTCAAGTTGCCTCTGATATTATCTCTTAAAATTAACACAATGGCACGTTCTGTATGTCAAGGTGTCAACCTTGACATATCGTTCGGGCTTCCATAGAAACTGACACAGCTTTTTTAAAGCCACATACCCTACGTGATTAATCATTCGCATTTACCCGAATTCATTTCATGAACATTGATATGTGGTATGTTCAAGCGATCGTGATAACATCATTCTCGCGTGTTATCTCTGTGGTCTGATGTCTGTTACATTTATAATGGCCTGTTTAAAGAAATGATATGCGGTTTAACGCCCTACTTTTCTGCACCGACAGGGCTAATGAGGACGGGGCTTACACCACACTGCGTGTTAAGAGTGAAATTTTGCCCGGACAGCGGCTCTTTGGCCTATTCTTATTACAAATTCCAACTGTCAAGTGTTCATTTACGTGCACGCCAACATGTACACGGGACTTCCGTTAACCGACCCCTCCGAACGACTAGACACGACCCTTAATTGCCAGTCACACTGTACCTTTCCTTGCGTCATTAAGATAGTGTAGGCTTTGTTCTAAGGTAAATACAAATCCACAGTATAGCTTATTAGGTGCAGAATGATGTGTGAATATACTATAGGTAAACTTTTTCCCCCATAATCATTTAAACAACAGATGTAACAAATATATATTTCAGATAAAGCTTTAAACGCCACCAACCCAGTATGCAAAACCAATCTACCCATCATTGATGCCACGAATAAGGAATTATTCTGTGGCCGTGGAAAAGGACGTGTAAGATGTCCAGCTAAAACCAAGTGCATTTTTCACATGCGTAACAAATTTGCTGTCTGTTGTTACAAGAAATCAAGATACAATCGTACATAGAACTCTGTATAATGACAAAATCTACTTGTACATACAATAATAACAATTTCAGCTCATTTTTGTCAATAAAACGTTATAGAAATTGGCGGAGTCCTTTGTTTCTGTATTTATATTTCCTCGTTTTCCCCCATAATATTAAATTTACCTGATTTTGAAATCGCAATGTTACACTGTATATTTGTTAGGGTGGTCTCTGGGGTAAAATGATTTGAGACTCAAACGGTATGTCTTTAGACCGTTTATATTATCAATATATTTTAACATATTTTGGATGCGTGTATCAATAGACCCCGCCCCCACCCATATTGATGACGTGATGGTATAGTAGCCAATAACATGAGGGGTTGAATTTACATTTTCTGTTAAATGCCATGTTTTATATTCATGGTTTGGAGGCGGAAAGATAACAAGGCCAAGAGGATGGTTACGGTAATATGTGCGACAGATAGGCACCTGCACTGAAGCTGATAACGCTGACTTTTAGTAATGATCATTACTCTAAGCTAATGTTTGTATATACAGAAAGTGGTTAGAATTTATACAGTAGTCATTCATTAGCAGTTGTGTAACTAGCTGTTTAAGATACCCCTTCTAGTGTAAAAGCGTAACTAATTCTAATCTCGAAATTGAATATGCAAAGTTAGCCAATAGTGATGCATATCATTCAATAGTCGCGGCTTGAACACCTAAGTGACATAACACCTACTTAATGACTAATACCTGATTACTAACAATTTCAACTAATTAGTAAACATTACGAATTTGATGATCTGTCTGTGCATGGCAAATATTTTCATCTATAAACGTTTTATGTTCATAAGTCAACGATATCAACTTTACAGTGAATTTGATTAATATCCTACTGCCAATTGTATTTAGCAAAACATGTCAATTGGCGGTCTATCTGTAATGAAAAGCTGGAGCCGGGCAAAGAGACTAGAATTAATATCAAATTGAAATTTGGGAAAATATTTAGTAGTCTGCGCCCAGATGTGCTTTCAAAGTTATTGCCCTTATAATCAAGCCCCTAAAATCGCTTCATTTGTCAGATGTTTTTGATTCTTATAGAGACTGGGATTATTGCCATAGTTACCGACACCTAGTAGTCCCGAGAATATTTTTATTTTCAAAACTCCAAAAAATAAATTTTGTTACATGTTAGAAACGCCTATGCCACTGGTGTGCGTAAACTTCGTTGGCGATCATTTATTCTCCTGTTTCGCATAAAATATTTTAAATATTATAGTTTTCCAGGCATTGTAAGATAAGATAAACAACTACTTTCTTGTGTGCGACGAAAAAAGGCCTTTGCACGGCAATGAACAGCATCTAGTTCGGATGAGACGACCAACCATACACGTAAAAAAAACTTGATAGTTGGAATTCAACTGCTGTTCTGGCATTTATGTAGAACAGCAAGACGTTAAACCCCATTCCATTAATTCACATTACAGAACCACGGAGATATAATATATATGTAATCAATCAGAAACATGGCACCAATGTCTACGTCGTATTAAGCAAGTAAAAATGTTACATACACATATATCGTATTTAGCCTTTATTATTCTTATTTTGATCGATGAGTTCAACTGCCATATCTCCATACCGATAGCTGATAAATTGTTCAGCGATATTTAGTAATTGAACTTAAAATACACAAGAAGCAATTATATGGAATACAATCACTATTTATTATGGAGTATGGTTCATCGATCAAATAGGAAAAATTGATGGTGTGAGACTGTGAGAGGATATCTGACAATTCATAAAAAGAATTAACTGTCACTAGATAAGATAACACGAAAGAAAAATAGAAAAAGTCCGTGCATTACCAAGGTTTTATAAGGTATAGAATAAATAAAAACAAGGGAATGTACGGACTTTTTTTTTATCGTGTTCTCTTATGTAATGACAGTCATTTACTTTTTTGAATTGTCAAATATCTTATTACAGTCTCAAATAACAACTTTTGTTCTTCGAAGGAATTATTAGTGAGCAGAAATTCGCCCATGTATCTGTTATCACTCGTCACTTCAGTCAGTTATTATAGATGGATAACTCGTGTTTTCCTTTTGCGTTCGTTACTTCCGATTGTTCCGATTGTTGAAACCGGCATTACGCGTCTATCGTAGCAATGATCTCTGTATTTGGAACGTGTTTAACCATTTCTATCACATATGTGATAATGACTGGCGCCAATATTGTCCTTTAAGTTTCACTAGGTATTTCGTCTATTTATAGCAATACACTACCCCCACCCCCCACCCCTTTGCATCGAAATTTGTGTTGATTTACTGTTCTAGAATGGAAGAAGGGGATATGGATGAACATTTACTGCCATGTTTTGGTAAATATTCGTGATTAAGAGGAGGAAGGATAACAGAGTTAAGACATTGGTTACGGTGGTATGTGCGGAGAATCGTAACAAGATTTATTATGCCCCTTTAAGTTTGTGTATCTCATACAGGATCTGGAGCAAAGACATGACCGGTTGTAGCTCTTTCTGTAGCGAAAAGCGTTCAGCCCAGCGAAATTTCGGGTGAAAGTTAGAGCCGGACACAGAGACCGGAATTAACATTGAAGTTAATAGCGAAATTAATGGTGGTCTACATCCATTTAGGAATGTCTGTATCAAGAGTTATCTCCCCGTCCACATTGGGATGCTCGATAGAACGTTACGGCATTGAATTCTGTCAAACTCAAAAATAGTGGGGGTGCTCGAGGAAAAATGGGGATTTTGGGCTAGAACGCATGCGCCGACTGCATGAGAAAATATCTCGACAGCTGAAACACATTCGTCGTGTTTAATTACGTCACGATTCTACTCATACCACCACTGTTGCTGGGACTGACAGAACTGTGACAGGACTGAATTCCACGTCACCCGCTTGCAATTCCGTCAATTCGGAACGTTCCGGACTGACAATCGAGCATCTCCACTGACTCGAATATGAGCTAAACAGTTTGTTTGTTGTCGATTTGCTATAGCCCCCATCACACCAAACAAGTTCAAACGAGTTTTCAAAAAAGCTTTACACCGTCCTAGAAAATCGTAAATAATGTGTAAATAATGTCTATAATACGATCTCAGTTCGTTGATAAACAGACCTGAATACTTCTAACTCGTCCATACCCCGTCCACAGTCAGTTTATATCAAGTTCAGATCGGGTAAATTTGCCATTTCAAAGCAGTTCAAGCCCGTCAGTTTAAATCCGCCCGTAACTAGTTCTACCTTGTTCCTAATACGTTCCTGCCATTCCCCATTCTGATTCAACGCTTCGAGCTGTGCTGATCAAGGCATTAAAATATAGTACTACAGTTTCCTCGTGGGTTTCATCATGCCACCAAGGAGAAATACCAGAAGGAATGTCCTTGGGAAAGCAGTCACTGGTACTTTCCAAGGATCCCCAAGGTCCAGCTCCTCTGAAGGACAGCCAGATCGGACCCAAGTTGCTGAACCTCGCGAGCCTATTCCTATACTCTGTATATCTCCACACCCTGTCTAAGTAGATGACGAAGAGCAGCGCAAGTTGCTGAGTACAACCCAGACTCACACCCACTTCACACCTGTGCAAGAAGAAGGTATGGTGGAATGGAGTCCTCTATAACAAAAAGCCTGCAAGACACGAACAAAAAGAACTACCTAAATACTGTTAATTGATGCTCCTCCACGTCACGTTGTAACACGTCCCTTGTAGGATCGAAATACGGCAATCCCGTTCTTAGTACGTCCATCTCGTTTTAAGTACGTTGTCACGCCGTTTAATTGCAGGACGGGGAACATTTTGAACTGACTCAAAATTCTGGAGCACCGTTCCCGTCCATGCCAGCCTGAGCCCGTCCACAAAGTTTTTAAACAGATCGTAAACAGTTGCTACTACGTTCACCCCGTTTGCACATAGTTTGAGCCCGTTTGGCAACATTTTCCACAACGTAGCGATAACTGGTTTGGTGTGATGGGGGCTGTATAATAGGCCAGAACATATTGACTGTACATAGTCTGTACATAGCTAAATTCTGCAAGTAAAATTTTATTGTTAAAACATTATTCTACAACAAAGACGTTTTAACATCGAGGATTTACATCTATTAATTGTCTCCATATCAAGCGTTTCTAAATATCAGCGCCATTTATATACGACTATGCTGAAGGGGTCACAAGTCCCCAAATTCATTAGCTAAATCTGATTTTTACATTAAATCTTATCTATGGCGTGCTTTTCCTTTCTTAAAAGAATTCCAGAATATCATTGTTATTTTTTATAAATGTTATCAACTTGCACGCGTCAAAGCAATAATTATTAATATAAAATGATTTTACTGTATTAGGCAGGGGTCATGAGGTGTTTAATAACCTGCGAAGATAATGAAACCAAAGCGAAATCTATATTTTAAGGTCTAAGTCTTAATGACACTGTATCTTTGTTTTACTCGGCATCTGGTTAGGATTGATACACTACTTCGTTTTAGTTACACAAGAAGCGGTCTATCTTTGCGAGTAAAATGATAGAGGTGGAATGAAATGCGCAAATAAATAACACAATGTTTAACACTACATCGAAGGTTTATACTACTAATCGAGCGCGATTAAAGTGTGTGTGTGTTGGGGGGTGGGGTGGGGGGCTGTGCTACAAGAGGTCCCCACGTTAGTTTTTAAAAAATTGTACCGTAATAAATTTGTCATTTATTTTGTTGTATATGTTTGTGCCAAATACATCTGTCTATCTAACATACTAATTGCATTTGTGTTAGAGTGGCGGACACTGATCAGAATATATCCCTGTTTTACTGGTGATGCAAGAGCCCCATTGACATTTTCAGTCAGGGACCCACGCAAACTTAATCCGACCCTGTTACTAATAAACATTTGGGGTTGTTGAAAAGCTCTCTCCCAGAGAATTGCGTAAAGACAATGCAAAAAGCGGTAATTCAATTCTCGGGGTGGGGGGGGGGGATCTTGCAAAAATGCATTAAATTGTCGTTCCGTTTGAATGCAATGATTACAATTACTTTCTCGCTACATTGAATTGAAAGTAATTAATTACCGTTACCCATTATTTTATGACTATAAATGACAATCTTTTTTACACTACCTATAAAATCAGGCTCACAATAATATTTAACCCACAATTTAGTTGAATTCTATAATGAATTGTAACCTCTGTAAAATACTACATTATGGCAAAAGTAAATTTTCAAGTGAAAGGAGATGATGATAAAATCTACTGATGCAAATATGTATATCTATTTAAAATATGAACTGAAATTATGGAAAATATTCTTGTGGGTACATTTTGGTTAATATTAGTTTAATATTGTTCTTTAAAATTATTCATACACGTTTTAAGGGCAGTATTGAAGACTTTGCTTGTGTGGGTATAATGGAGTGGCTTGGGAAAATCTCCATCTATGTTTCCACGTGTCATAATCTGGTCAAAATCGTGATGGTCGATCGTTAAACATGTAGACTCGCGGTTATTGTCGGTTTACAGTCCCCGTGAGGTGGTTGTATTGTAAGACAGACGTGCACTGATAAATTAAAATGCCAATGTCAACAAGGGTCGTTTTCAGTTAAAGGTTTGATCATGTGAATTAGTGTCTAGAGGTAGTTTAATATAATGTATACAGTTTAATCTTACTTCGTGACTGGTCAATAGCATGGTCTTGCTACATCAGTGGGTTGTTTACCAACAATCGGAGGAAAACGGGAAAATAGTACTAGAGAAAAGAGTCTTTTATAGGTGATTAACCCTTATATAAAACCCACGGGGTTAGGCATGCTACAATCACTTCTCGTGTGGATGTGGCGTGGAATGGAAAACAGTGACATTCGTCGTTAGCAGACCGGTTGATCTCAGAATTATAGTTAACAGATAGACTAATAATCACCGAAACGTCGGTACTATCATTGCCTTTATGGAGTTATCCAATTAAGTGTTCTATACAATGAACGATTAGTTTATTTTAAAATATAAGGTTTAAAATTAGTTTTAGCAAGATAATGGTTTATTGGCAATGAATTATCAGCCGGTGGCGCACATATTGACACTGAAGCGTAGTTCGATGTGATCATACTGCGATGCAAACGCTAGTTCCCCATTATGACCTACAAACAAGCCCCACGCCATACCCTTGCGACCCACTAACGTATGAGATTGCAGCAAATAAAACACAAATTATCAAAATATCATCGGGGTCTCTTTAGGATGTATGTCAATTATGCTCGAATTTATTTGTTTAATTTTACTCAAGTTGTACTGAAGTTCAATTATCTATTCTGTTATCTATATGAATAAGGGGATCACGGTGGCTAAGTGGGTAAGGCGCTGGCTCGCTAGCCTGGAGGTCGGGTGTTCGATCCCTGCATTGGCCGAGAAAGTTCATCCAGATTTTCCGGCGTGGTTCCCCCTTGTCAGTGATGCAGGACGGAGGGCCTGACAAGGACAGCTGTCTAGTCATTCGGATGAGACGAAAAACCGAGGTCCCGTGTACACATTGGCGTGCACGTAAAAGATCCCTTGACAGTTGGAATTCGATATAAGAGTAGGCCGTAGTGCCGCTGTCCGGGCAAAATTACCCTCATAGCACACTGTGTGGCGTATGCCCGTCTTCATTAGCCCAGTTCGGAGCAAAACAGTAGGACGTTAAACCCCATTTCATTTCATTTCATTTCTATATGAATAAAATCAAAGTGTGTATGTATGTGTGTATGTTCGCTCATCAAGCTTCGTCGCCACTCTCCACCCCCACATATGACGTATCAACTTAGCCAGCATGACCACGTGAATGTTTAGGGCATCGAAGTTGGGCCCCGGGCGCATTGGGCCCCTGGCGAATTTGGGCCCCGTGCGAATTTGGGTCCCGAACGAAGCCGGGTATCCTGCTAGTATAAGGAATAAAATGGTATGTAACTATTGCCCACGTACAGCTCTTATCTCTGCTTAACAAAGAAACGGTTACTGTCGATAATCGATATAATTAGACGCCTAGAATTAACGAGATGTTTTTACGATGAAATAAAAACACGGAAAGGAAATAAAAAGCCATTATTCAGTTTCATATCGTCAGTATCTTCCATGCTGATTTTAAGATGATCAATACGAAAAAAAACCCAATGGGATTATACGAACTGTTTGTGTAAGAAAGGAGTTTTAATCTTTAGAAGTATATCAGATATCTAACAGTTTGTTCCAATGATTCCATCCAACTGATTCACCCGTCTGGTAAGTGCAGTGTCGTTCGGATGGAACTAAAACCCGACGACGTGTGTACACGTTGAGGTGCACGTAATAAAAGAACCCTTGGTAGCTAGAATTCGATATAAGAGTAGGTCGTAGTTCGCTGTCCGGACACAAGTTCCCTCCTAGCATACTGTATGATCCAGACGGGGTGTTCCCACTTAGAGTTAATCCTAGAACAATGGTAATATAAACTATAGTCCATATCTTTTTTAAGACTAAAACTGTATTGATTTTAACAAATTTAACTTTTATTAAATAACATTAAATAGCTTACACATATAAAAATATATTGATTTTAACAAATTTAATATTTATTAAATAACATTAAATGATTTACAGATATAAAAATGCATTACAATTTACACATTTAACTTTTATTAAATAGCATTATATAATTTATAAATAAATGCCTTACTAGTGAACAGTTCTTGGGTGACTACTTTTAAACAGACTATAGTTTTAAGATCAATCAAAGGATTAACAGTCTGCCGGCTAAGTGGGAACACACCATTGAGACAAGTACCTCAAATGCAACACTTTGACCTATTGTTCGCTTGTGTAATCAATGACCTAATAAAGTAATTAGATTGAACGTTCTGTTCTGAACCAACCGGGTAATTGAAGACATGACAATGGTTGTGGGTTTTTTTCAGTTTCTGCCAACGCTTAAAAGATTATATTAGTACTCCAACATCCTATAGTTAGACGGCTACTTCTTATTATATTAAAAACATTGCCTCCACATTGTCTTTAGGCATAATAAAAGATGGGAATTGCGTGTATTGTTCTTTCTATTAAACTTGACGTCCCTTTGTGACTTTCCTAGAAACGAAATCTTTCTACGAATTATGCTGATTAAAACGTTGTTTATAGGAAATTTAAAAAACAAAAAATAAAAAAGCAAAAATGTGCGCTCCATTAAACATCTTACAGATCTCCAATTCCGTGCGAAAAGGTATTAAAATATAGTTGCATAAAGAATCAGCTGAACACCAAATCAGATAGATTTTTCCTGTAATCAAGTAAATTAAATCGGCTGATTTACATTACTGATTTTTATTCGTGCTTTTAATCTTCATATAATTTAATTTACTTTACTTATCAGTAATCTTTACATTACATGATAATTATATGTAATTCCAATGCTACTAATATATCTGCACAGTTCTCACCTCTTAATTGCATGGGAGCCACGGTGGCCCAGTGAGCAATGCACTAGCTCATTAATCAGGGGATCCCGGTTTCGATCCTTATCTTGGCCGAGAAAGTTCCTTTGGATTATCCAATGAGAATTCTCCGCTATGTCAGTGGTGTATGACGGGGCCCCTAGCAAGGAACAATGTCTGGTCGTTCGAATGCACACGCGTACGCATGTAAGATGAGCCTTGATAGTTGAAATTCGGAATAAGAGTAGGTCGTTGCGCCGCTGTTCTAGTATAGCGTATGTCCGTCTTCATTAACCAGATTGGTCCAGAAAAAGTAGTACGTGAAACCCAATTTTATTCCCGTTATCTCGTACTTGGCTTGTATTAATTATTTAAATTACTGTTTTATGATGTCTAAATTATGATTCAGCATCAGTTTTAATTTCTCTTGAAAAAAATTTTTTTTTTTTTCGATAAACTATTTTTATGATATTTTACATAATAATGTAAATACATTATTTGAATAGGATTACGCTCTCAAACAAAATTGCGGCTTGCAAAGTGGCTGGCGTGGTTAATAAACTCGATCGTGCATCTTTGTGTCACGATAATATATTTTTTGTTCCAAAAATACATTGTGACTTCCTAAGCTGACACGAGTAAGATGATACAGGCTTTATCCAAACGGTTAATATGTGGTAGCGTGAGAAACAGATATATTCTTTAGATCTCTGGGGAAATAAATACAAAGCACGGCCTTATTGGATATAGATTTAAGTACAAGTTATGTATTAATACTCGTGTGTTTTCGTTGTTTGCTAAAGTATGATTTGATCTGAATCAATTATATAAAGCGCCACCGAGAAACACGTCGCTGTTGGAGTTCAAATTCTCAATAAGTACATTATTGTATTATTTAAACTTTTTGTCTAGAAACTTCTTTATTACTTATTATATACGCGTGTCAATTAATTTTAGTCGAGTAAGCCAATTATTTTGTTGGTGAGGAGCTGGTTTAAATCGGTAGAAAATGCCTAGATATGTAAGTTATATTCATATCAAGAAAATAAAACAGTCAACTATATGAATAAACGCCTTTCCTGGTAAACAATTTTATTAAAGAAAGGGTGGATGATATTGACAATCTTATTTTATTCTATACTTGCTTTGAATTATTTGAATTCTGTAGTCACGTATACCACTTTAAGGAGACCCTGAGATAGGTAAATTCTCTACACTAAGCATACAGAATAACTAGTTAACGGACAAGTGACTGGTATTTATCTATGTTAATTTACTCCAATGGGATTTAAGGTGAAAAATGAAAGCTTGGTGTTTCAATACATCTGCCAGTTTCAATGTACTGGTGATAGATACCAACCAGGTAAAAAGTGATAGCTGAACTGGTTTTCATTATTATCACGATGCTCAGATTAATTACTTCGGTAAGTATAAATTTTGATTGCATTAAATCGCCATTCTTTTCGTCGTAACTTTGTGATTGAATAATTGAATCTGGCTGCCAAATTTGAGAACATGACACCAGAGAAAAGGATCAAGCAACATTCTGCAGAGTCTTTATAGTATCTGAATCAGAAAAGGCATGCAACGACTGTCTTTGATGGTAATATTATTAGACGGATGAAGTCAGGGCTATACGAAATGAAATGATATTGGGTTTAACGTCTTACTGTTCTTCTCCGATTGAGCTTATAAAGACGGGCGTATGTCACAGAGTGTGCTATGAGGGAAATTTTGCGGCACTATCACCTACTCTTATTTCGAATTCAAACTGCCAAGTGCCTTTCACGGCCTACACCGCGGTATTAAACACGACCGCCATCTTATCCACTGAGCCACCGCGACTCCCACAAAGATACACAATAACAATATTAAAATCATAGCTTAACTTCCCTTTCATCTCAATCGCCAATCGGAATCTAAGACAAACATCAACATAATCTATAAAATAATCAACATAAATCTAATCTATAAAATATTCAACATATATCTATTCACAACAAACGACAACACAGGGTATTCTACTTCTCTGTTTCCTCCCACTGCTAAAGACCCCTACGCGCAAGCGAATTATTGAAATAAAAAAATTGAACCATATGTTAGTCCCGAAATGACCAAGTTTATGTCGAGTGGACGTTAAACCCCATTTCTCTCTCTCTCTCTATTTAATAACGACTTTTCTTGTATGTGTTATGAAATCCCCAATATTATGTATCTAATATATTAAATATTCAGCATGATTCTAATCAATAAAATCAGAATATGTTACAAATATATCAGTAACCAACAGGAAACCTACTGTTTAGAAGTAAAATCCTGCACACAGATAACTATCTACTTTGAGAACTGGGTCCGTATTCAAAGGTTTTCTTAAAGTTGAGTTAAAATACTTAATTTTTCTACTTAACTAACGGTGTTGCCTTAAATCGGTATTCAAAGGTTGTACGTTACATTTTCTTGACTATGTGAAAAACTTAACGCTACACTTAAATTATGGAATACCCCCAATCGCCAAAAAGCATGAATTTCTCACTGATGGAATACCTGCAACTGCCAAAAATCACGAATTTATAACTTCGCACGCAAGTTATGTCCCCTTAAAAGCACTACTGTAGTCATACTAAACTGGTAGATTTTTATAGAAAATTCAATTTCAATAGATTTCGATTGTAGTTATCGAATAGTGGTAGTATAATGGCGGATATTGTAAACTTTATTATTTTAAAAATGTATAACGAACATAAAACAACATCTTAGCAATTATACACAGGGCATTTTGGCTTTAAAGTTAGGCTGAAGACATCATTCAATGCTGTATATCAATCTATCATTTGAGAAATTCATAGAAATTATGTCAGTGCTTACACTTTAGAATCCCAAACGCCTGGCGGCGTTGATGGTACATTGTGTATACGAAAGATGCACGTGACGTTATTTTCAACCTGAAGAATACCGATTAAAACGCAATAAGTAATATGTACAAGAAATTAATTGTAAAACATTGGTGGCACACTGCGACCAGCAATCATCATCATATATTTGTAAATTAATTTACAAACGAAAACCAGAACATGGTGCAAACAATACTACTGCCAATTCGCAGCTAACTTCAAATATATATATATGGGAGAAATTGTAAAAAATAACTCAGGCCTTTTTCTCATGGTAGTATAAATGTTTGTCGAAATCTTCAATGGAATATCAACAGTGTCAAATTTTACAAATAAATTAAGCGCATTAAACTTTGTTATAAGAAAGTCGTGGAAACATGAATAAGCAATACGAAAAGGATAAAATGATCGGAAAGAAATATATCCATGACCATTTCGGTGGTAGTAACCTTATACACTATTTTGTCACTACAGCATCAAAACTGAGGATGAAAAAAAAGGTTTGAGGCCAGCTACGCTCGGTGACATTGTCTTTATTTCAATCTCAATCCCCTAACTTTTAAAATCGCCATTACGGGCCTGCTACTACACTGTTTACTCTGGTTAAAAGAAGCCTTTATAAGTTCGCTTAACTTTAAGGTACCTCCCATAGGTCACTTAAAGTTAAGTGGATTTTTCTCACGTAAACTGGACTTTGAATACCGCTAAAAGACTAAACACTTAAAAGTTAAGGCAGCTTAACTTAAGGGAAAATTTTATACTTAACATTGCCTTTGAATGCCTTTGAAGTTACGTATATTTAAGTGAAATCTAGTAGTTAAATGACTATCATAGATTTAAAGATACATTCCCGGGTACAAACTGGGTGATTTGATGATATATTTGGACTAAACACATATTCAAACTAATTAGTTTATCATAATTTTGCTTCAAATCCTTCTCAAAACATTGCAATTGTCAGGGATAGCCGGCTATAAAAATCGATCAAAAGAGGTCATGTTTGTGTCACGTGACACAACGGGTGCCCGGTCAGAGGAGAATTCATTGCATACACAAGATGATGTTGCCTTTATCGCTGACTATTTATAACAAATATCGAAGCCTAATTAAACTCTCGGATTATCCACTGCCCGCGCCTTTTTCCATGATTTTTATCTCAGAAAGTGCTGTACGTCTAACTCTTCATAAAGTTTATCAACATGTACATCAAGCGCTCAATCTCCGCGTGCAACCTTCGACGTCACGCGTGCAGACACTCCTAATTGTCTGGCTTTCGATTAGGGAAACCGGTACATTTTTGTCCTGTATGTGCTCCATGAGTGTTTTTCAGGGAATCCATTATTTTTCTAGTAAGATTGGATATTTCTACTTTCCATATATACCAAAATTGCCACACTTTTATTGGAAATAATCACCCGATAAACACTTTTCTGGGAACGTAGCTTTAAGATGTCCTTTGAATACGGACCCTGATGTCTGATCGGAATGGCTGCCACATTGAAAAACGAGTAGGCCTATACTATTTTGTTATGTGGTTCTAACAAAGAATAAATATATATTTTCAATTTCATTGCATATTAAAATATTTCTCACACTTCTCGAAATATGCTTCGTGTTTTCGATAAAAATCGTCAGTAAACTAGCTTTGTGCCTCTTCTCAAACGGAGCTGAATCATGTAGACAGACAGTGTAAGTTCCGTATAGAGTAGGGCGTCCCAGAATGGATTTGGTGGATATCATTGTAAAATACTATTTTGTATTAACGTGCGGTTATAGGTAGTAGGCAATCAATATAAACTAGTTTTAACTTTAAATGAAAATATAATTACTGTTAAGAAGGGTAGTATGTAAGCAATATAAACTAATTTTTCTAAACTTTAGAACTATACCATATAGTTAAAGATAGTAGCATGCCATTAATAGAAACAGACTACAACTTTTAACTGGAAACTAACACACATTTAAGGAGGGTGGTATGCAATCAATATAAATTAATTTTAACTTTAAATGATGGATGGATATTATGTGTTTTAAATCAAATTCTTGATTTCTTTAAGCCTCCTGACTCGTCAGGTAACATAATTTTGCAATGGGTGGGCGTAAGTATATTAAATAAATTGACCCGATTGGTGAATAATTAATAACACATATATTCAAGCGAACACCTGCTAAAAGTGCCTGGTTATGCTCTTCAAAGGCTTTTAATCTAAAGTCTTTAAGTTTTGAAATTTAAAACTAAACCCTTTCATGTAATTCAAGTGTTTTTTTATTTACCAAGACCCCGAAGAACTGAAAATTACATTGGTTTGACCTAAATGGCAAGATCTGTATTATACACGCTTCACATAATTGCCGGAAGAAAAGCCAAATGGGTGCCATGACCTATTATATTTTAATAAAGTAATTAGATAAAGAATAAATTTCTAATTTAATAAAGTAATAACGCAATTAGACATAGAATTTAGATTAGTTCTACTGTTCAGTAAGTTGTTGAAGTAAAAAAAACCAATGGATTAACTTAAATACATTTACGTGTATAGTTGGCTTTGGTAAGTTGATTAAGAAATTCGTGACAAGGACAGCTCTAAACAAAAGCTATTTTAGTATATCCGCCTACTTATATATTTAAATTCAAAAGCATCAAGTCGGAAATTGCAAATAATTTCAAAGAAGATAACTATGACTGTAGAGTAAAGAGCCTTGTTAAATGTTGATAGCTTATGTCATTTTCAGACATATTTTTTCCATATTTTATTACGAAAAGATGTCAGATATCGCTGTGTTTTATAATACGAAACCTGTTATCATCAAATTATTTAAAACATAATATACCCAATACCCATTATTTCCATTTCAACTGTCATTATGAAACAGTAATGGCATTAAATTCACAATGCGTCGTCTTGGCGCAATAAAAATAGCTTGCATACTACACTATTGAGAAGAGCGAATGTCTGGATAGATATGATTCTAAAATACCATTCTTAGTAACATGCGGCTAATGATAGTAGTATGCAATCAATAATGGTATTAAATTCTCATTGCGCCGTCTTGGCGCATTAAGAATAGCTTGCATACTACAATATTGAGGACGGCAAATCTCTAACAGGAATATCGGTTCATAAATGGTTCAGTATTTACAAAGATATGTTGAATTGAAATTTCATCGATATCAAACAAGCCAGCCATATTAAATCCGTTTGATTCGAAGTCTGGAGATGATCTAAAGTTGGTATTTGAATTTGTTTTATTAATCAAATGTTGAATAATCAATTTGAGTACATATTATTAGCGTTGAATATAGATACATTATGGGAGATTAGATAAAGAGCTGGCAGTTCTCACTATAATACTTAAAAACCAGATAACGTAAAGGCTATTTGATAAGAATTTCAGTCAAATTGATCCATTCTGAACAGAGAATTTAGCGATTGAAATTTCGGCCTAGCCTCGATTACTAAAGTCGGTACGATAAAAAACATAGTCTCGATTATCCATTTCATAATTTGATCATGAATGAAAGTTGAGCTGCATATCGGATCCTAATCCTGTAAACATCGCAGGCTAGCGATGACATCGGAGTTGACTATGGTCTGGATAAGTTAATTAATGTCTAATTAATAATTTAGATAACATTTCAAGCCTAAAGAAAGACCTGCAATAGGCAGATTTAGCTCTTGCATAATGTATGTTTAAGCGGTCGGGAATTTGATATTTTAGCGAGAAATGCAAATTACGCAACGTTACTTTAAAATAGACATATCGCTGTGTTTTTTTAAATAATATGCAAACGATCATTATTTCTGAGAAACTATTTTCATTACGCGTTAATTTTGTGTATGTCTTCAGTATAAGAGGATTTATTTCATGATTCTCGAAACCATGTTGTCCCTAATCGATGTCTTGGGAGGACATCAGAACAAATATCAATTGTATTATTTCCTCTTCTAGCACACTGTATGGCCTATGCCCTTTTCTCGAATCGGTGTAGAAAGGTAGGACGTTATACCCCTTTTTCATAAACGCAATATATTTTTGAAGAAATATGGACTATGTTTTCTTCTATACTGGTGTAATCTATATAAAACTAATTGAATTACGACGTGCGCAACCTGTACGAAAAAATAACAACATTTTTGCAAGCAGTAAACAGATCATCTGCTGAGACACATGCTTCTAAATAATTTGTTTAGAAAAACAAGTAATACTAGCTTACTGTTTTAGTGCTTTCCCAATTATTACAAGCGTGGTCTGTTTTATTATTACTTACTGTTTTCAAATCAGAAGACATTGGTATGGAGTCGTGTTGAGAATAACTATATTGTTTAAGCATAATGCCTCGTTTTCACATGGGCCACGAATGCCACGAATCGTCCGGAATCCAAACTTTTTTCAATTCGTAGAAAAATCGTAGAGGGTTCCTGGAAGTTCGTAAGTGATACTTATTTGGTTCATACACATTCGTATTGTTCATAACAGTCATCCTGGGGCCGGGACAGTGGCATGCCATTGTCCTTCTGCTCTTCAATGATGGCCTGGCACACCTCTGTGACGATGTCTCCCACGTTGCTCTTGCCACATCTGAAGTCATAAGGGAGGGTGGGGTACCGGTCTCCTGTAGCCAGGTGTCTGAGGGTCACTGACAGCTTCAGTCCAGATTCTAAGGGTGGTCTAAAGGGGTGTGGTTCCTTAAGCCTTCTTTGAGGTGTCAGCCATGGTCAAACCCGTCAGCGCTCGGGCCATGTCTGTCTTCTTGGGGATTCCAGTGCCATGGCCAGAACCAGACCCGATCTCTGTTGAGCAGATGACGGGTTTGGCAGTGATCGGCGGCTTTTTATAACGTTTATGCCGAATTGCCACGAATAGTCTCACATATCGTAAACTTTTCGTAGCTTTATCGGCATCATTTGTAGAGTGCGTAGTTCATTCGTAAGCGAATTCGGCATATTCGTAAACAATTCGGCACATTCGTAACTAAATCGCTACCATTCGTAGATGATTTTTTCATTTCGTACCTCTATCGTAACCCTAATTTCACATTCGGCATATTTTTCGCTCGATTACCCACGAATTATCGTAACCCTTTAGTCAGTTATTCGTAACTGCTTCGTAGGTACACCCGATTCTCTACTATCTTTTCGAATCGCCACGAATTTTGATTTGGGACTATTAGGAAGGATTCGTGGCATGCGTAGTTGTTGTGTGCACTTGATTATAATCTCATATTCGTTTCCTGTCTTATATGATTTCTATTTGAAAATAATTTAAACGACTAAATGAACTGTTCTGCAAAATAATTAGCAATCTGTCATACACGATTTTTGTTTGTAAATAATTCTAATAACCTATGGAAATGTTGCCCAAACTAATTAGTAATCTGATTTACACGATTTCTGTTTGTAAACTGTTATGCAAATTAATTAGTAATCTGTCATGTTATTATACGATTTATGTTTGTAAATAATTCTAACAAATAACTTTGTGCGGTTTCCCCTTATCTCTAGAATGCTTAGTGTCATAGCCACGCGACTTCAAGAAAATACATGTAATTAACTTTGACTCCACTTAAGGTAAGGCATTTCCTTCACGAGCGCCCCTTTAGCTCCCTGTGCAGTAGTTCCTTTTCGGGACCGCTCTACCCCCACATCTATTCTATGGCTATTTTGAAGTCCTTACATTCTGTTTGTCCCCTTAATTCTTCTTTGTCCGCCAAAGTTAATCATTTCTCGCAACATTTGACACAGATGTATAATAATGCATATTATTTGCAAGTAGAATTTTGAGATTAAAAATACCCAAAACACTTTTGAATTGAACACGGACAAAGACAGCTGTCTAGTCGTGTGTGCACGTAAAAGATCCCTTGGCAGTTGGAATTCGATATAAGAGTAGATGGTAGTGTCGATGTCCGGGCAAATGTTCATAGTCCACTGTTTGGCGCATGCCCGTCTTCATTAGCCCAGTCGGAGCAGAGCAGTGGGACGTTAAACCCCATTTCATTTCATTTCATTTGTACAACAAAACAGACCAAAATTCCTAGACCTCAACCTTTATACACTCAATATTATTACGCGCATAATTACCAACGCAACTTGTGTTTGCGCAAGGTAATTTAACGTTTGTCTGACAGATTTAAAATTAACTATCAGTACAAACCCTATTTTCATTTTAAATATTTATCATTTAAATGATACAAAAATAGTTTTGAAAATGATTGTATGGTTGCTATTAGAAATAAACTGCGCACATGTTGGATATTATGTTTACATTTTTTTAATTATTTGGTTATGTTTATGGTCCAATAATTATGATTACCGTAATATTCCAGTTTTTAGTGTAAAGTGAGCAGAGCGTTGATGCGACACGGATTTTCTGCTGTCATTACCTCTAATGTGGGACAGAATAACAACTTCTTAAAACGCGTACCTCGTTGCAATTGTCCATTCGGGTATCTGTCGCTGTGTTCTAGGTATCGACTTCTCTTTCATTTGTTGCGTTTCACACTAATTGCCATTTGAAGTTTATACTTGATTCCGTTGATTTAGTGCTGTGATCTTGATTGAGTGCAAGTATTTCAATGACATAAGATCAAAATCTTTCATTACATAATTTATTTGCCCAACCGGGTCTATATTGTAAGGTGATGTAATTGTATATAATTATTTATGTATCGTTTTCATATTTTGAATATTTATATGCATGGTTTTATTTAAGTTGAAAACATCCTTATCTGTGATATTTGTCTTTATTTATGCATATGAATATAGTTTTGTGATATAATGTAGTCTGTCTCATATGTTTTGGGCAATGTATTCCGGATTGCAATTATGGTAGAAAATCCTATGAAATGTCCAAATATACCCTTTATAATAATAAGCGAATATTTTTTTTTCTTCTAAATTTAGTTAGCTGTTTTTGTATGTACATCTACTGTGTATGCTCAGACAGACTACTATCCTTGTTATGTAAGTACACGTAGTTAATATTCGTTTATAATAATCATCTCCAAATGTAGTTGGCTAATAAACATTATATGTTTTTAACCCCGAAGGAAAATCCGGAGATTTCTCAGGGTATCCTTTGTTAGTATTTATGCTAGTACGTATATAATATTAAAGGACAATATTGGTGCCAGTCATTATAACATATGTGATAGAACTGGTTAAACACATTCCAAATATCATTTTATCACAGAGATCATTGCTACGATAGAGGCGTAATCAATGCTTCAACAATCGGAAATGACGAACGCAAAAGGAAAACACGAGTTATCCCTCTATATAACTGATTGAAGTGACGGATGATAACAGGTACATGGTCGAATTTCTGCCCACTAATAATTCCTTCGAAGACCAAAAGTTGTTGTGTGAGACTGTGAAAGGATATCTGACAATAATATTTGGAATGTGTTTAACCAGTTCTATCACATATATGATAATGACTGGCACCAATATTGTCCTTTAATATTTCTTTAATACCATCTAAAAAAAGTAGTAAATACATTATATGATTTAACCCCGACGGAACAGTCGCATAGTTCCCAGCTCATCCTTCGGTAACGGTGGTTTAGTATTCATGTAATAAGTTTTTGCCGGGAATGAAGATGTTTCCTAGTCTCTAAATGCGTTGTCAACATTTGAGAATAATAGGTCATTGGCTAGATTATCCGGTCTTTAATATTATCATAAACAAAGTGTTAGGGAGGTAACTAGCCTAAAAGAATATGTTGACGCCCATGAAAGTAATTAAAGAATGCCATTTCAGAAAATCCATATGATTTCATTGCCAATTCAATACCCATCACTCCTACTAATTTATTTTTATTGTAAAATTTCTCTCTTCATGGCCCATATCTATGTTCTTTTTTTTAAATCCTAATTCGTCGTCACGATTCGTGTTTGTTTATATTAATGGAAGAATTATGGGATTTATTGTGGGAATGGGCGCAACTCTTACTTGACTTGGCCAAAGATACTGTATATTCAACCACATAAAAACCCAAACTCCCGGTTACGCATGGGCATTGGAACTTTTCGTCAAATATAGGCAACGGTCCCAGACTCTCCGTACGTTGAAGACTATATTTCTGGGTGACGGAGACTAGGTGTTTCCACATATCGGTAAGAAATCAAAACAGCGCTAATGACAATATTTTGCGAACAAATTAAAAGGGAAATAAAAATGCCATAAACAGTCTATATTATGTAACATGCCACTAATTGCACGTGTCTGCTCAAAGCGCTAACAAAACTAAGTTCATCTGTATGACGTATTAAACAGGTATGTCTTTAAACGTGACTTAAATGTTGTTAGTGACGGGGCAGATTTGAGAGGAACGGGGTAGTAAAATTCCACTTAATTGTAGCTGCAACTTCCAAGGACTTGAATCCAAATGATTTCAATTTCCATGTAGGCACAACTAAGTTAAGTTGAGACTGAGATCTAAGATTTCTTGGTGGTTGGTAAAGTCTGAAAATATCATTCAAGTATGCGGGACCAGTTCCATTTAAACAACGATGCACAATAGATAGAAATTGAAAGTCAATTCTTTCAGCGATACGGAGCCAATGAAGTGATTTTAATGCAGGGGTTATACTGGATCTAACTTATACCGCTTTGTCGGAAATAAGAATGTCACAAACTGTTTAAATGCAACATGTAACAAACTGCACTTTTCAGGTTTATTCCCGGGAAAAGTTCCAAAATATTGTTCCTCGCTTCGCTCGGCAACAACCTCGTTTCCACCTTCCCTTTTCAAAATGAAGATTGAAAATTTGATGTTGGGAAAGTACATACAGACAAGATATTCAGTGGCTAAGCTTAGCAGCCAACCAAATTACCATAGGGTTTAAACAAGCGTGCAGTCGAAACAAACAACATATGAACTAATTAAAGGACATTTGGGTGTTGAAAATATGTCAATTTGATATGAAATGAAATGGAGTTTAACGTCCTACTGTTCTGCTCCTAACCTGGGCTAATGAAGACGGCACTTAAAAAGAGTATATTTCCAAAAAACAGTTTTGATGTCAAAACTATTTTAAAATATGAGACAATTTCGATAAAAATAAGTAGCACTCTTTAAAACTCATGAGAGCGGGGGTATGTACATGTCATTATTTTTGACAGACTGTCCCTTTGAAATCTGCCTCTTTCTTGATCGCTTAAACAAGTAAATATGTTCGTTAAGCTGGTGGACATTTTATTTAAACAGATATAGCCCGAGGTCATGAAAATTGTGTCCAAATTTTCCCGTTTACATTTGTAAAAGTAGTGCATTAAGATAAATCTCTTGAGCATTGAACGCTGAATTAACCTGTTTTTAATGATTAACGCACATCCTGGAAGACTCCTTTATTTCTAACGACAATAAAGGAAACAGAAAATAATTAATTTGGTAAATGCAGCAGTAAATCCGACATCTAGTAATCAGCATTACTTACGGAAGCTTTAAGATTTAAAATAAATCTATAAATTTCTTCCTTGTGTATCGTGGAACTTATTGATTATAACAGTGGAAAAAAACCAGGGGAAAAAATAGATAGAGGGGTTAAGGTCCACTTGACCCAGACTAGGTCCTTTCGGGACTAATATATGATTTAATTATATTTCATTAATTCGCTTGCCAGTAGGGGTCTTAAGCAGTGGGAGGAAACCGGAGGACTAGCAGAAAAGTAGTTGGACATGCGACCCTACTCTTGTCACATTCAACATACCTTTATATGATCTGCATGTACCCCCTTCTTACCCCTCCCCAAACTGTGCTAATGAATAATAAGTGTAACTGATATGCTTGGTATATTGCGCCTGCCAATGCCAGTGTCTAGTCGTTCGGATTTGACAATAAAACCGAGGTCCTATGAACACTTTAGCGTGCACGTAAAAGAATCTTTGACAGTAGGAAAGTCTAATATGAGTAAGGTATAGCTCAGATGCCCGGGCAAATTTTCCTTCAAAGCACACAACGTAAAACATGTTGCCCGTCGTCATTAGCCCAGCCTGTCAAGAAAAGTAGAACTTTAACCCCATTTTATTTTTTTTCATATTATTTATTGTAGGCAGCATTGTGTGTTCAAGGTACAAAATGTGTTGTATCAGAAGTAAACTGTATAAGAGCACCGTGTGTACCTCAAGTTAAATGTATAGGTATGTACAGAAACGACATATGCCCTGCTGCTTTTATATAACACGATTGTAATTGTAATATAAAAGTAATAATGTTCGAAATAAAACTTTCCGCCAATCGAGAAACAGCAATAGATTCCGATTGACCGCATGGCAAATCTCCAATTACCATTAGATCCTAGATATTCATATTAAATGTTATGCAACCTTTAGTGCCCATATACGACCGTAAACTGTGTTACTAATTGAATAGGACGATTTTGTCGAGTGTTACAATCAACAGTTATACTGGTATTGAACGAGAGGGGAAGCTGTAAAAACGAGCCATGACGCACCAAAGTATTGCATAATTTAAATCAGTTTTAAAATAAGATTCGTTTGGGCTATTTTGGATACCTTATACTCTTAAATCATAGATTAATATCTTGCTACGCGAGGTTTTGTGCCATTAATACTTTAAATCTTCCGACGATTGAGAGATAATTAAACTATTATGATTTATAGTGACAATATTAACAGACTAAAAATTTTCATGGAAACACACGCATACCGCGGTTATTTAACAAAAACAAAGCTATTTAAACCTTTACATTAGACATCACTTTGATTGATTAACTGAAACGCTATGAAATATACCTCCCCACATAAATAAAACAAATGTCGGATTTGTAATAAAACTTTTTTTTATCTGATAACATATAATAAATATATCTGCGTGTTCGGGGGATAAATGATTAATCCTCTCAGCAGTTTGTAAAAATGATGTTATCATATGGTTATTATTTATACAGCTCCAGGTTCCACAACCAATGGGGTATGTGAAGAAGGTTCACCAGTTCTCGAAATGGCAGGAACTAACGAGATACGGTGTTCTGGTAACAGGCTATGTCCGGACTATACAAGATGTGTGAATGGATATTGCTGCTGGACAGGGAACCAACAAGGTTAGATTACAATAATTCTAGTAGTCATGTCTAAAGATATACAATTCATGAGCCAAAATCAAGATTAAAATAAATTCCTTAGATACAAATGACACTAATGGAGGCTTTTGATGATAATGGTATTTGGATTTGATTTATGTAATTCTGCTAGCTTAAAGGTATTCTAGAATTTTCCGAGAATCGCATTTAGGATAATACGGTATTATATTAGCTCTTCCATTATGTTCTTAATTTACAAATTAGTATTTTTTTTTAAAACATTGCCATTACTTATGATATCGTTTTACAAATAATTGTGAAGTAAACAAATACGCCCACATTGAAATTGGCATCACCAATGGTTTTGACCCTAGTCCACAAGAATTATTCTATTTGTCGCAGCTAGGAGTCGCAGTGGCTCACTGCTGGTAAAGAAAGATTCCCTGAGATTATCAGTGGTTCAGGACGGAGGACATGGCAAGGAACGGCGTTTAGTGGCGTGCACGTAAACGACATTTGGAATAGGCAGACAGAAACGCCACTGTCCAGGCAAAATATCAAATCATAACATACGTCTTCGTTATCCCGGTTGATGCAGAAAAGTAGTACTTTACACCGTATTTCATTGCATTTCTTCATTTCCCACCAGACTGATATATCCGATTCAAGCAGTGATTGGTCAATTATAAATGCTTAGGACTAATTTACTTTCGTTATCTATTATTAGTAAGTGCAGGAGGACCACACAACACGCAAACCAAAAATCTACAAGATAAACCTGCGGACAAGACAGAAAATAGACATTGCACTAAATAAACAAATATCAAATCAAGTGAATGGATCCGGGGGCCAGTCGTTAGCTTTCACTGCGCTGTACAGCCCCGGGCCTGTTATGGTACAGGCTTCATTAAAAATAATAATAAAAAAAATGAGAAATAATGCGACCAATCTTGACAGTGAACGTCTCTTCAATGGCGATACTCTGCTATGTATGTTTTTCCTTTTGTTTCAGTTAACATATGTTGCATTTCAGCTCTAGTATTTTAATTTTATTGCAGTAACATCCACTCCAACACCCACAGCAAAGGAAGGTGTATGCCCAGATACATCTGGTCAATTTGGGGCCTGTATTACGGAGTGTGATACTGATTTCAATTGTCCTGGAAGTAAGAAATGCTGTAGTAATGGTTGTGGAGATGTTTGTGCGGAGCCCGTGAGGAGAATAAAACCAGGAACTTGCCCCTCGGTATCAAATATCCCGTGTTCAACTACCAGATTTTGCTCTGATGACTTTGTTTGTCCTACCTTTCAGAAATGCTGCTCATCAACATGTGGGCGAATATGTACCGATACAAAGGAGACAATAATACACTCGGGGCGTTGTACTGCAGTCAGTGGCTTTGGAAATTGTGAAAACAGATGTAGCTTTGATGCAGACTGTTCACCAAATCAAAAATGCTGCAGTAACGGATGTGGTCGAATCTGTACTGATATTCGCCCAGCCGTAGTTCGTCCAGGAACGTGCCCTTCTGTCACTGGCTTAGGAACTTGCGAAAGCCGGTGTGACGTGGACGAAGAATGTCCACAAAACCAAAAATGTTGCAGCAACGGCTGTGGTCGTACATGTTCAATTACTGCTGAAGTAAGTATCGTGAAATCAGGTCAGTGTCCTCCTGGTACACAGTTTGGTCCATGTATAAACGAATGTACGTATGATGGAGAATGCTTGGGTAATATGAAATGCTGTTCAAATGGCTGTGGTCGTTTCTGTAAATCGCCACTGAGGACTGTCCCTATATGCCCAGCAAATAATCAATTCCTTTTTTATTGTTTCCTACAAACAAGTTGTAACCAAGATTCTGACTGTTTTGGGGGAGAAACATGTTGTCATTCTGTAGGGTGTGGTCGCATATGCAGTCTGAATATTGATGTACCTATCGCACCGTATAAACCGTATCCAACCCGTTGTACTTGGTGGAAGTTCATGTATGGACAATGTAGTTGGTGATTCGAATCGACAAGAAATAAAATTTTTTTGATAGGTACATGACGCAGTTTGTCTGATTTATTTGATTAATACAATTACATTACCGATACGACCTTTTCAACCTATTAGTTGATTTCTAAATTGAGACTGATAGGCTGTCTAAGTATTTACGTAGATAGAATACAAATAGACGATAAAGACATACATTTAGTCAGTATATATTTATCCGAGATACATGAAGCAAATCTCTCTGTCATTCTGCATTTTCTTCATTCAGAATAACATTTGTTCTTCACTGAAATTGAGACGTTTCTGAAAATTTCTTAAATGCAAGTTTACAAGAAACATATGGAAACTCAACAAACAACAATTGGTATGTGGTTATTTGGAACTTTATTTCGTAAGCTTATGGCTGAATATAAATCCAAATGGCGAACAGTTCCGGATTTACCTATAGGCCTGACATCCTGAAGCCTTGAGCCTCAAGATGGGCAACGGTGTATACGCCTTTCTTACACGCACACCGTTGTATTAAACACGGGTTATCATCCTAGGCTTTGCCCCGATTGTTTTTAAAACACCCTTTTATCTTCATCTAGTTGTAAGGGTGGGGAATTGGGATGGGCTTCTTATGTGAAATAGCGTCATCTAGATCCAACACTGCTGAAGAGCCTCCAACAATAATCGATCTGTTTATGTTAAAGCTTTTTTTTAAAATCCTTTTTGAAAAAATAACAATTGATAACACCTTTATAAAGCCATCCCCAATGTTATCAGTATAATACAAGTATACGTTTGCATTGAAAGCTAAAGAAATTGCACGAATATGCAGGTTTCCACCGTTGATATAATTAGGTTCTCTGGAGTATAACTATTGTTTTGCAAGGGAACAACGAATTAGAAGCCACTTTAGTGCATTTTAAGTCACATATTATATCGACATTTCTATCTTCTATTCAAAGCGGCTTTTAGTGTTACGCAAATGGCACCTTCTCTTAAACTGTAAGCTTCGCTTTCAAAAAGAAATCAACTCGGGAGCTTTCATTTTAATATAATGTATTTTCAGTAAACATGACGTTTTATAGAATGTTGTTGCTATGCAGCTTTAATTATGAAAAACCACCTGCGCGCTGTGTAAGAAAACACCACCCATTAAAAAGATATACCGGGTTGTCTATTTGAAAGAAACTTTAAATTAATTTTTATGTCTATATTTCGCCTTATCACAATTACAGTTTAGATTAACATTTCAAAATTGCCACGAACAGGAAACCGGCCAAACCTTTTGTGTGGTGAGGCTTTTAGCAATGCTGCTAAAATGTTCTCTTATATCTAACGGAAGACACTAAAATTGCAAATATACAGGTATATCGTTACTTTGTTAGGATGCCTGTGATAAATTTTCACGGTTATCATTATTGTCTAAACTCTGTTAGAGTGTATACTATTATGTATAATGTCTTGAAATATGTAGTATTTTTATTCTTTATCGAATTATAATTGTCAATTGTTCTTTTACGTACACGCCAATATGTAGACGGAACCTCGGTTTTTCGTGCCATCCGAACGACTAGACAATGGTTTTTGTTAGGCTGCCTTTCCTGCATCACGGACATGTAGGAAACTACGTCGGAAAATGCAGAGGAACTTTCTTTGCCAACACCAGGAGTGAAGTCGAGACTTCCTGGTAAGCGAGCAAGCGTCTTACCACCGAAAATCCTAACTTGAAAAGCGAGAGAGAGAGAGAGAGAGAGAGAGAGAGAGAGAGATGGGTTTAACGTCCACTCGACACAAACTAGGTAATTTCGGGACTAACATATGGTTTAATTTTATTTCAATAATTCGCTTGCGCGTAGGGGTCTTTAGCAGTGGGAGGAAACCGGGGGACCCGGAGAAAACCCACGAGGTTGGAAGGCGACCATACTCCTTGTCACGTCCAACCGGGGATTCGAAACCACGCCAGTTGACTCAATGACAGGTCTTATGATACAGTGCGCACGTGCTAACCATTCGGCCATTCGGCCATCCAACCCCCCTAATCTGAAAAGTGTTTGCGGTATTAAAGTAAAAGTCCGATATAAGTACGTACAGATATAATGGATCATTATTGTCATTTAAACGTGTTAATTCCTACTGAGCCAATGCGGCGATCTTAATTCTTTGAACCCGACTCTCTTGGGATGGTATTCCATATATGTTTTAAAGTATAAATGTTCTATTCCATTTCTGATGATTAAATGAATTTGGGGAAGAATATTACAAAGCTGAAATATCTGGTCAACATTGGTGTTAAAATCGGTGCATGTGTCTTTTCTCGAAATATTGGGATGCGGAGATACGAAGTTCCAGTTAATTATTAGGGTCAAATTCTTGTAAATAGGTAACTAGAACAACTCCTCTCATTAAGAAATAACAACGTGGGTTAAATGTATATATAATCATACGATAGATCTAATCTGGAACAGGGGGGTTAAGAACAAATAATGACAGGCGTGTCTGTTGATTTGATAAGAAAAATGCTGCCACCCCAATCAACTAATTGTTCACGGGTAACTTGGAATGGATAACTTAATGTATAATTGAAATGGATTATTTAATATCTCTATTCAAAGTCATGCTACAAAGGGTACTACTCAATTGGGTCTGTCTATCTGCCTGCCCGTCACCACTCTCACTTGATCAGAATCAAATTGATCGTGCCATAAAGTCTCGATCAATCACATTACTTTTCACTGCCTCAGCAGAAGATGTTCATCAATGAAGATCACCACCTTCACCTAATAAACATCTACGCCAAGTTAGAACATTCTACCTCAATTAGAACCAGAGTTATTGCCCCCCCTCCCTCCCACAAAAAGTGTGACGGACCCTCGGCAAAACAGGACAACAGAACGAAATTTTAACTATAAAAATGAAATAGACAGTTGTCGGATATTTTACTATTGCATAACCTATACCATTTTTTAAAAAAACCTTTTTACAAACTCTACAAATATCTTCACACACGCGTATCAATCAAAATGAAATGAAATGAAATGAAATGGGGTTTAACGTCCTACTGTTCTGCTCCTAACCTGGGCTAATGAAGACGGGCATACGCCATACAGTGTGCTATGAGGGAAATTTTGCCCGGACAGCGGCACTACGGCCTACTCTTAGTCCGAACGACTAGACAGCTTTCCTTGTCAACCCCTCCGTCCTGCATCACTGACAAGGGAGAACCACGCCGGAAAATGCGTATCAATCAATCCATCCAAGTGCGTGTATCAAAGGGTGGTGATATTTTTTTTTGATTGGTTACATACAGCAGTCTTATAAAGTTATACATATATCTTTGTTACAGATAGTTTTAAGAGGATGGGGGTCACTTCTACTATGTTACTATGCCACCGTGTATCTATTCGAATTATAACTTGTATGCTAGTCATTAGACATTATGATTATCTTTGCCGAAACCATTCTTTGCATTTATATCACCATTATTATCATTATCAGCATTATTAGATCATCATTATTAGAGCTGTCTAACATCATCGACAACCATGATGCTGAAGATAAGGTGATGTCAATAGATAAAATAGGTGGTTTTGTTTACGATGATAATGGTTGGTTATGTTGAAAACAATCGCGATTGAGAAGCTGAAAATGACCTTAATTATGATGGCTATGAAAAAGAACCTGGATAATAACTGTGGCGATGTTGAAAATTCGTACTAAGTTTCCCTGTGGTAGACGAATATTAACTAAGTTAATAAGCAGCTTAATGTTGGCGACAAAACGACCCAGACAGTTACAATCCATAATATTACACCAAGACGAAACAACAGATGTTGTATTAATGTGTAGATATGTCTTAAGTCATATTTATTATGTCGTCGCCACCTTTCGCGTAAAAAAATACCACGCTCTCAACACCTGATTTCGCTGTTTACAACTATTAAGAAAGCCATAAACTGCACAGAGGGAAAACTGATTTATTATCTTGTGATCGGAAATGCCTGGTAGGTAATCAATGTTAACATGATAGGTAAACGACATTGATTAGTTTCATTTCTAGGATTCATGAGTTCTAGTTACACACCTGTCTGTAATAAGTGCTATGTTAGACTGACTGTAAATTGATATAGCTAGCTACTGTTCTCGGTCGATATTTATATTAATTATTAGTCTAAATCAATACACGTTTTCTGTTAATGACATCGGCATGACGGTGGGGATTCTAACCAATCTAGGGGCGGGGGATTTAATGCGTGGGCTTTAGATCATGAGGTCTGCCACTGAGTCAAGTGGCGTAGTTTCGATTCCACCCGTTTGAACGTGAGAAGGAGTAGGACCGCCTGTCCAACTTTGTGGGTTTTCTCCCAAAATAACGGTTAACGTACTACTTTTCTGCAACGACCGGGAAGACGACGTACAGTGTGCGGTACTCAGGTCTACTCGTATTTCGAATTCCAAGTGTCAAGGGGTTGCACGCAGTGCCGGGTTAACCATTAGGCAACTAAGGCACGTGCCTTAGAGCCAGCCAAAAATCCAGGCCACAAAAACTAGAGTAAAATAAGTTGTAATCTAGCTACTGTAATCTGATAGTAATTACAGCACTGTCAACCAAAAAAAATAGTTCTGAATTTCTTTGTAATAAATTTAAGTTTCTTCCTTTTATCGATGAACCCAAAATATCTCTATTTTCAGGCCACCTATTAAAATGTGTTTTAGGGCCAGTAGAGTCTTAATTCGGCACTGTTGCACGCCAATGTGTACACGGTACCTCGGTATTTTGTCCCATCCGAACGACTAGACGCTGTTCGATGCCATGTCCTCCACTCCGCTGACAGCGGGACACCTCTCTGATAAATCCTCACTATTGAGCCACCGTGTCTCCATACACAGTTCAAAGTTCAGCACTCTAATCCTATACGTCATGTACACGTATGAACCCAATGAGCAGATATAATATTGTCTCAGAACTTTTGATTTTATAAAATAGCCACGCCAAACTTGACGTTGTCACCACCACGGACCCTCCTCT